CACACACACATATATACGAGCACATTTATTCTATTTACCTGCTGTATAACTAATACCTTATTTTGATTACATTCTGCCACCTTACCATGTGCCTTACATTTTTCTGTCACATTTGTTTCTTTTTAATCTCCTTTTCTTTTGAGATTGATTATAAACAAATTGCTTATTTTTTTCCATATATTTATTTTGAAGTTTCACGTATTTCACTAAAGTAGTTACTTTTCTTTTTATGCCTCTAGTAAATGATTAGCTGAAAGATCACATTTGCTAAAGTTTCCACTTTACAACAGTGGCCCAGAGTATTTTGTAGATCCTTACATGTTCTTTGCATACTTTTAGAGGATCTGGAAGTTCAAAACTATTTTCATAACAAAATGTAGATGGTATTTGCCTTTTCCGCTCTAATTTCTTTATAGGCATAAAGTGAAAGTTTTCCAGAAGCAAAACGATGTGTGGCATCACAAGAGAATGAATGCAGAAACATATCAGAAATCACCTGCCTTCTGTTAAACCAGGCTTCAATCTACACATTGCCACTCTTCTTGCTAAAATTTTTTGGGAGTTTTTCTCATAAAATGAGTTATTCACATTAAGATATAAGGGGCTAATCTTTGTTATTTTAAGTGAATTCATAAATATATATTTTTACATTGTAATTTGATTTTCTATCATGGAAATATAGTTTTATTTTCTATGATAGGATGTGAAAGACATACCACATAAAAACCTGCAAAATTCCTTCTGTAAGATTTTAAGAATATTAAGGGTTCTTATTCCAAAAAGTTTCAAACTAATTACTTTTTTATACACTTGTACGGAGAGATTACTTTAGAGATTACCACTTTCACATTTGAAATAGGTAGAGATTACAAAATATATCTTTAACTACTAAAATATAACGTTAAATGTTACTGATACCATCTTTCGATGTAAGAAATTTAGATGACTTTAAACAAACTATCTCCTATTGAGTTTCTGATGTCTTTGTCTTGTTACAGTTAATAATAAATTTATGTAAAAATTTCAACCCTTCCATTCTCTCTTTCCCTTCTGTATTTCTTTTTTTCTGTC